ATTGCACATAGATAGTATATAACTTAGGATGTGTTGTATGTATCTCCATTATGACTCAATGGAGAGTGGAATAATTATAAATATCTACTGTGTGTTTCCACAGTGGCCCAGAGACAAAATCCCCTTGAGCTCAGATATATGTCTCTTGGCAGCAGAGGCTCTCTGCCCTCTGGGTATGGAGAGAGCATGCTAATCAATTAAAGGGGAAGTAATTTAGATTATTACAATGCTGGTACATAGCCTTATTGCCATAGATAACATACGTTTCTTGTTATTAAATTACACACGTGGGGTCTGCTTTACAATATGAGGTTTCTTCTTGTGCACACATACACATAAGCAAACATCTCTGTGAGCACTAGACCAACACTAACACGTGTTTTGTATGTGCAACATGCATTTCCTGGATGCAAATTCTTGCATGTGCAGGTGCTGGAGTTTTAAAAGTGCACACAGTAGTTTTGGTGTCTGCAGGCCCATGAACATTCTTTTCCAAATATGGACTCGGGGTCAAAATAAAATTCAAAATTTAGCCCATTATGCCATGGAGTTTCTTCAGTTATCAGAGTTCCTGTATATTGTATGTTAGTAACTAACTACATATTTCAAACAATCAGTCTCCACTAATTTATGCAGGATTTCATTTCACGCCATTAATTTTCATCTAATAATATGTATTATAATTCAATACCATCTACATGTTTTGTTAGTCTTTAAAGCGCTGCTAGACTATTTGTTGTTTTTTAAGTTTTTCCTGCTACAGACTAAACTCGAATACCCCTCTGAAACTTTTATAATTCAATAATGAGTCTAGTTTTTTTATTTTTAATTTGAAAATTGAAAAATATTTGATTTTTTTTTAAATCTAGTCAAATATTTGCACACTGAACTAAATTCTGCCCTGGGTTACATCATTTTTCTCAGTGGGTTGTGACAGATTTTCACTAGTGTCCTTGAGAGCAGGGTTTTGGTATTATCTAGGGTACCATGCAGCACAATTGTAGATTTTCACTAGTGTCCTTGAGAGCAGGGTTTCGGTATTATCTAGGGTACCATGAAGCACAATTGTCCTGGAAGGAAATACCTTGATAACCTATGTCTAATATTTAACTTTAAAGTGCCAGACTTTATTCTGAACATCTCCTGTATTTTCTTGCAAGTTACTGGGCTGACCAAGAACCAGCTCCTGGAATCCTCTCACAGAAATGCCAGGATCCCATTGACAGCAGTGGGAGATTTGATGGGATAATAGCAACAGAATTCACCTCACAGAAAATCAGAGTGCTAAGGAGGGCCTGCAGGCGGGTGAGGAAATATCTATTATTGGATCAGCTTCTGTTGGGGAAAAAGCAGGGCTACGGACAGAATTGCCAGGCCCTTGGGCAAGGTTGGGGGCTGGCTCTTAGGTCCAGAAGGGGTGTGACCTTTGACAGAAAGGATGGAGCCCCAGCTAGCCTTTCAGTGCTGTCTGGCCTACACCACCTGGGGCTCCAACAGCAATGTAAAGGGCCTGGGACTCTGGCAACTGCTGCTGCCATGGCAACCAGGAGCCCTGGGCTCTTTTAAATTGATGGGCCCCAGGGCAGCTGGCCGTTCCCTCCATCTCCCTTCGGCAGCCCTAGTGAAAAGACAAGCTTTCAAGCTACACCGGTCATATCTGAGAAGCTCTCTGGGAGCTTGGAGGCTTATCTCTTTCACCAACAGAAGTTGTTCCAATAAAAGGTATTACCTCACCGAGCTTGTCCGTCTAACATTCTGGAACCAACGCAGCCACAACACTGAAAACGAAAAGGGAATGTGTCAGATTGAATTCATATTATCAACACTAGGTGGCAACAAGAGAAAAGGAAAAGCCTTCTACACAATCCAGTCAAATACAGTTCGTGTGTTGGTATGTCTCCAGGGTAGAAAAGACTACCAGTACAGATATGTGGCCAGGAAAGTGCAATGCAAAGGATACAAGAACTGTGGAAGAGAAAAGAGAAGCAACATCTTTCTCAAACAAGGCTATTATCCCAGCATCCCCTATGTAGTCTTAACCAGAGAGGAAAACATATCAAGAGCGCAGGAACGTAAGAGGCAGGTGCTTGTTGCATTAGGGTGATACATATGAGTGACAGGTTGGAATTGAAGGAGAATGGTGGGGATGCATTGTTCAGAAAAGGGAAGAATTACCTCAGCCCAGAAATGAAAAGGAGACCAGCTATAAAGATTTTGGGGTAAGTTATTTAAGCTGCATTAGGGGCTTGGGTGCCCAATTCTCATGAAAAAAAAAATCAATCCAAACCCCCTAGGTGGTTTGAAAATTCTCAGTTTGGGAACAAAAAGCATCAGTTAAACATCCTCCCACTCCTCACTCCCTCTCCTTGGTACTCAGCCCAACTTTATTCTTCGCTGAAATGCGCTTGGACCACATCAGCTCTGGCAAGTTTGGCTGGACTGTCTAATATCGCTATATTTCCCACACGCTGGTGTTTCCCTTTATGGGGTAAGGGACTGGAGTCCATTGTAGGGTGGGAGGACAAGAGCAGAAAAGGGATCCTGGCACATGCTGAGGTCAGGGAAGACCAGATTTTGTAAATTTTAAGTCAGTTATCTAGAGCTCAGCAGGGAAAGTGTGAAATTGGAAAGCCTGTCTGATAGGTGCATCAGGGTTCATTACAGATCAGAGAAAGGGAATTGGGAGTCAGAGATTGATTGGTAAGTTTGGGCATGAAGAAAGAATCCAATCCAGTCCAAGGCAGTAAAATGAGAAGGTGACCCATTTTTCCAGGCTAAATCTTTGCAGCATCCATTTTACCCTTTGGTTTCAGATTATGTGAGTACATAAGTCTCATCAAACAAGCTACATCCCTACTATGTAGTGTCACAACACCTACATCATTTATATCTGTCCAACACACAGAATCAACCTTAACCCAGGCTCTGTGTTCCACAAGATACTGTGACTTATTTTATTTTCAGCAGCAGGAAGTGAAGTAGATGAGCCAGCAATGAAATCCCCTCCTTCCACTATCCTGAAGAATTATGTCATTGTTGGTTCCTCCCAAATCTCAGGACAAGCTGCCCTCTTCCATCCATCAGGCCAGAAAGGTGCCGACCCTCATGTCAGAGGACAGCTACCAACGCCGACCGGTTCGCCTCATCCCGCGACTGTCCACCTGCCTTTACCTCCCAGCAGAGTCATCGAGGAGCTCCACAGGGCTCTGGCCACCAAACATCGGCAGGATAGGTAAGTATAGCACATAGAGGCACAAGTAATACCAGAAAACAGTAACCTTTCAATGAAAGTATTTTTCATAATGCAAATTCCTGATAAGAAAAAAGCTTTTCCTGTTGAAAATAGCCCATCAGTTTAGTCTGATTAAAATCAGGTTGGTTCTGCACACACACTTCTTGGTGGCTCCACTTCCAGCATGGAAGTTTCAGCCATTACTTTAGAATACACTACTGAAGTAATGTATTATCTCCACAACATGGAAATCAGAGATAATGTAGGCAGAATCATTTGTTAATCTCAGTTTAGTGTAAGAGCTGGCTCATCACAGAAACAGGAGATCAGAATTATGTAACGTGGACAGTGAAGTCCTCCTAAAAGAATGGCACCCTTTCACACAATCCATGCCACGTTCATCCTGTGTTGCAAAGGAACTAATGTAAGGTCAAATTTCAAAATTGCACACATGGACAACAACGTATGACTACCCTGCTGGCAACGTTTCCCCAAGGTAGCATGCCCAGAAGGCCAGCTCGGATCACTGCTGTGCAAATTACCTGATTTTGCTGGAAACAGTCATGACCTTCTCTCTAGCTTCCTGAAGCTTCCCAGGGCACAACTTAGCCTCTCTGAATTGTCCCCTCAGCCATGCTCTCCCCAATTCCCCCTGTTCTCTGTTGTTTGTCCCCTTTGCAATGGAGGCTATAACTATATAAACTGTGGCAGAGCTCTAGTCATACCTCCTGGGTCCTGTGTTTCCTGACAGATTTTTAGTATGCCTCAGAGGCTCATGGTGACCCTCCCACTGTCTCTTGTTTCTCTCAGAGGCAAAAGTTCCCCCACTTACTAAGCCATTTTCATCATAGGCAAGCTTGAAGGGAAAAACCACTGGGCCACTGGGCATGGGGAGGGTTGCAGGGAACCCAGCCCTGTCCACTTACTCTAGATACCAGCCCAGGGCCCTAGGTAGCAGCCACTAGTAGGGCTCCTGCCCTTATCCCCACAAAATAGTAGCCTCTCCCTGGACTACTTCCCCAACCTCTCCCATAGTACCTTCTCCTGGCACACTACATGAGAACTTCTCCCGGTTGTAGCATTCGCTTCTCCTTAATATTATGATTCCTCCTCTCCAGCTCCCATAGTACCTTCTCCTGGCACACTACATGAGAACTTCTCCCAGTTGTAGCATTTGCTTCTCCTTAATATTATGCTTCCTCCTCTCCAATCTCCTCACCCCTCCTTACCAGAGGAGAGGCCTTAACTGACTGCAGGTGTTCAGTTAGCCTGCTGCTGCTGGCTGGCACTTAATGAGTCCCAGGTGCCCCCCGTCTTAATTGCTGAGCAGCAGTCTCTGTCAGCCTATGCAGGGAACAGGAACCTGCTTACCCAACTACCAGTGTACCTGCCCTCTATCAAACTCCTGCAGCCTGCTCTTTTTGGTCTGCCACAAAGCATAAACAGATCTCCTTATTAGATAATCTTCTTCCCAATTAAAGACTTGACCAACACACAGAAAGGGGTCTGTTTCCCTCTCTGTGAAGTGAATTTAAGACCCCCAAAATTAACTGGTTACTGCTATTTTTAGTCCTGTGAAGATGCTATACCAATGCTAAGTATTCTTACTTTAGCATATGGCCCTTGGCTTCTATATGAGCATATATGGTATCTTGTTTTGCAATACCCATGGCTGTGTAGAACAGAGGGTTGGATATGCTGTCTGGTTTTCATTAGAAACTCTCCACTGCAGCAGTAGAGAAAGACTCAGATCATTCCAAGGCTATATGGTTGGTAACATTTCTCAATGCCATAACAATCTTTTTCACAGGAAATGGATTAATACAATGCCCTTTCAAGGTCCTGATTAATCCTTGTCAGGACCACAAATCATCAGAAGGGCAATGTTTCCTACAATGCATGTTTCACATTAGAAGCACATGTTGGGTTCTTTAAAAAGGTCAGCGTGGTAAAGCACACAACTATACATTTAAAAAAACAACCACATTAGTCATTCCCCTCCTATACAGGTTGAACCTCTCTAATCCAGCACCCTCAGGACCTGACTAGTGGTGAACCAGAGAATTTGCCAAACCACAGGTGGTCAATATTGTCTAGCAACATTACCAGTACTCTCACTGCTTACTGGGCTCTTAGAAGACATTTGAGGGTAAATTAGAGCTAAATAACAGCACAAAACACTGAGAGCCAGGACTGGTGGCTGTAAACAAACTTTATGGGACTGCAGGAAACTTGACTGCACCCATAATAAGTGAACATCTGACTAACTAAAATCATTCCGGCCCATAGATGTTGCCTGACGAGACTGTGTCGGACTAGAGAAATTCAACCTGTACTGTATTCTTGTGATAGAGACTGAGAGATGGAATAGCCTCAGACATTTTCATCACAATTCGCAGTCCCATCACGTCCCTTCGACATCTCACTAAACACATAGTGCCTGTGCTCATCTAATACTAGGTTCCTACTATGGCTTTAAAATGGACTTGTTTGATGACCCAGTTGTGTACCTTCCATCCACAGTTTTCACGGCAGAGAAAGCAAAGGGTCTCCCAAAAAAAGAGTGGACATCCGTCCATCCAGAACATCTAGCATCGAGGGCAACAAAGAAAAGGAGAATGCACTAAGCCACAGCAATGATCCGGAGAATAAGCGGAACTCAGTCAAAGAGTCGGATGAGAACAAAGAAAACCTGATCATGAACTCGGAACTCAAGGACAACTTGGTTTTTTATCAGGATGAAGAGGTTTTGAATGACTCCATTATTTCAGGTAAGGAAAATTAATTTATTATCCTTAGAAATATATACTACTCCAGTTGACAGGAATGATCCAGAGTATCTCAGTGTATGATTGTGTCAATGCCTCATTACGTTGGCAATTTTTTGTGTGCGTGGATTCTCAGTGAATAGATGGTGCTAAAGTTATGCCTGAATGCTGTGGTTTGTGCTCATGTCTGTTTCGGTAGGTACACTATACCCAGATGGCATTTAGAGATACACAGTTCAATAAGCACTACCCTTTCAGTTCTGCCTGCTATATTTTGTACCATCTCACCTGAACAGTAGTGCTTCCCCTCAGCAGCATTGAATGAGGATATCTGAGAGTCTGGTGCTAAGATGTCATATTTGGAAATGCCCTATTCTAGGGGCTGCACACTGGTGGTACATTATGGGAGGCTAGTTGGCAATAAGTAGCAGATCTATCTTGGAGGAACACATGTCCATAGGCTGGAGATCTGAACAACTGTACTCCAGTTCCCCTAAAGATCTGTTAGTGACTCTCTGACAGCTCAGTGAATTCTTCATACCCATGTCAGACCAATGGGTGTCTGAATTATATTGTTGAACTTGCTATAGTCCACAACACATAGAAATGTGTCTCCCATTGGCAGGTTTTGAAAGGCGTATGAAGTTAGGTCATAGGTTAATTTTTTTCTTGGAAGCACTGCTCAGTGCTTATCTGAACCATATGGCCTCTTAGAAAAACATTATGGAAACAGTTTATTATTCAGGCCAATTATTTTATTAGGCAGAGCCACTGGAGCGCTCTGTTGTTTAGAGATATCATATTTCCATCAAATTTTAAAGAATCATGCACTTCAGCCAGATACTCCATTCTATTTTAAATGATGAGTAGGTCATTATTTCTAAAGTTACAGACTAACATGGCTACCCCTCTGAACTATTTTAAATTATTTTTAGTAGATTAGAACAGGGCAGGCTTGAAGAGAACCCACTATAAAAGTAAGTAGTGCAACAGTGTAGTGTAGTAGATTGAGGAGGAATTTACAAAAGGAAATATGTTTAATGATAAGTATAGAAATCAGAGTTGAGATTATTGGATTCTGATCCTCCCTCTGCTGCTGACCCTGGGCTCTTATTGCAGTATTATTGTAGCAGGTTGGTCCCAGGATATTAGAGAGGCAAGACTGGGGAGGTAATATCTTGGGGGCTTTTTTGGTCCAATCAAAGATAAAAACTCAGCCATCTTTTCTTTCTTGTATTTGATGTTAGCTAGTAATAAAATACACAGTTGAGGTACAATAGAAGAGGAAATAAAAGAGAAACCCTTTGCAGAATTTCTCTGCATTCAAGTTAAATTCGCTTTCTTAAAAACAAATGAAGAAAAGTCTCAAGATAATTTTTTCCAGGTCTCTCTTGGATAGTCCCTAATAAGAAGAAATCCAGTGAGTTTAGTGTAAGATTAATTTGTTTAATCTTGCAGAGTAGCCTAAGCAGAAGTGTTTATTCTACCATTGAAGACATGTGTAAAGTGACAAATCTGAGGAATTGTCCCAGATTAAGGTGTCATTAGAGGAGGATTTTGGAACAAATTGATAAGCTTAGCAGTAACAAGTCACCAGGACCAGATGGCATTCACCTAAGATTTCTGAAAGAGCCCAAGATTTCACCCAAGATTTGTGAAATTGTGGAACTAGTAACTGTGGTTTGTAATCTATCCTTGAAATCATCTTCTGTACCCAATGACTGGAAGATAACTAATGTGATGCCAGTATTTTAAAAGGGATCTAGAGGTGATCCTGGCAATTACAGATTGGTAAGTGTAATGTCAGTACTGGGCAAATTAGTTGAAGCTATAGATAAGAATAGAATTGTCTGACGCATAGATGAACATAATTTGTTTGGGAAAAGTCAGCATGGTTTCTGCAAAGGGAAATCATGCCTTACTAATCTACTTGAGTTCTTTGTGGGGGGGGGTCAACAAACATGTGGACAAGGGGGATTCAGTGGATATAGTGTACTTAGATTTCCAGAAAGCCTTTGATGAGGTCCCTCACCAAAGGCTCTTAAGTAAGTTGTCATGGGATAAGAGGGAAGGTCCTCGCATGGATTGATAACTGGGTAAAAGACAGGAAACAAAGGGTAGGAATAAATGGTCAATTTTCAGAATGGAGAGAGGTAACTAGTGGTGTCTTCTAAAGGTCGGTACTGGGACCAAACCTACTGAATGTATTTATAAATGATCTGGAGAAAGGGGCAAAGAGTGAGGTGGCAAAATTTGCAGATGATACTCAACTGCTCAAAAAAATTAAAAAACAACGAATGACCCTACAGCACCTTAGAGATTAACAAAAAATGTAAATAGTATCATGAGCTTTCATGATACTATCTACATTTTTTGATAGTCTCTAAGGTGCTGCAGGATCATTGGTTGAGTTTTTTTCCAGTTACAGATTAACATGATTACCCCTCTGAGACTTTGAAACTGCTCAAGATCATTAAGAACAAAGCAGACTGTGAAGAGCTTCAAAAGTGTCTCACAAAACAAGTTGATTGAGCAACAAAGTGGCAGATGAATGTTAATGTTGATAAATGCACATTGGAAAAAACAATCCCAACTATAAATACAAAATGATGGGGGCTAATTTAGCTATCACCGCTAAAGAGAGAGATCTTGGAGTCATTGTGGATAAGTTCTCTGAAAACATCCACTCAATGTGCAGCAACCGTCAAAAAAGCAAACAGAATGTTAGGCATCATTAAAAAAGGGATAGAGAAGAAGACAGAGACTCTCTTATTGTGTCCATGGGTGTTGGGTATGTAAGGCAGGGGTAGGCAGGGGTAGACATAGCTCCGCCCACACTCTGCCCCCAGAATGCCTGCTGTAGTATTCCAGGCCTGGGGAAGCGTGCCTTCCTCCCTCCTCTGGTGCTCCCTTGGCTGGACCGCACAACACAGAACATCCTGCCTCTTCCCACCCCTGGTGCTCGAGTGGCTAGTCTGGGCTTGGCTGAGTGGTATGGGGAGGCTGCAGCGAGTGCACATGTACGCTCCCTCCTCTCCCCTCCCTGTGGTTGAAAGTGGGAGCCGCTCCACCTAGGAGAAGGAGTGGAGCTGAAGGAGGGGCTGAGGACTTGCCTTCCCCAACCCTGCCTTCACCGGCTGCCCATGGGTATGCCCACATCTTGAATACTGCATACAAATGTGGTTGCCTCATCTCACACAAAAGATATATTGGCACTGGAAAAGGTTCAGAAAAGGGCAACAAAATGATTAGGGGATTGGAACAGGTGCCATATGAAGAGAGAGTAAAAAGATTTGGACTTTTTCAGTTTGGAAAAGAGGATACTAAGGGGGGGATATGATGGAGGGCTATAAAATCATGACATGTATGGAGAAAGTGAATAAGGAAAAGTTATTTACTTGTTCCAATAACTTAAGAACTAAAGGTCACCACATGAAATTAATAGGTAGAAGGTTTTTTTTTTTTTTTAAAGGAAGTTTTTTCTTCATGCAGCACACAGTCAACCTGTGAACTACTTGTCTGAGGATGTTGAGAGGACTAGGACTTTAACAGTGTTCCAGAAAAGAACTGGATACATTCATGGAAGTTAGGTCCAGCAATGGCTACTAGCCAGGATGGGTAGGAATGGTGTCCCTAGCCTTTTTTTTTCCAGAGGCTGGAAATGGATGACAGGAGAGGGATCACTCAATGATTACCTGTTCTGTTCACTCCCTCTGGGGCATCTGGCATTGTCCACTGCTAGATGGACCTTTGGTCTGACCCACTATGGCCGTTCTTATGTATGCATGTACCATATATTTAATAGCACATGAATTTTGTACACACTATTAGTGGAAAACCATAATGATGGCAAGAAACCAGAAACTGTAAAAGCTTATTTAGCATCCAGAATCAACTCTTAAAAGTAAAGCTTCATAATATTTCATGTTAGTATGCCCTCTAAAGAGTTAAAAAATGTGCTTAGTAGAAGTTAATTCTAGAAAATATACAATGACATGTAAACGCCAGAGAATCACAGAAGTTAGATATGGAAAAACTTGTTATTCTGTCTCTCTCCCAGTGTTATTCTGTCTCTCTCAAAGTGCAAGTGTGGAATTCCTACATTACATGTGTTAACATTTTATTCAATTAAGTTTTAAGGTTCCATTTTTTAAAAAAAATCTTGAGGCGAGGGCCAAGTAAAACATGCTTGTCCAATTACCGGATAGTGTCTGCAAGTGAGATATTTGCACATGTGGATGGCCATTTAGATACCAGTTTACTCACATGTCCAATTTCTATATCCAATCAATAATGCAATAATTGCATGCACAAACTAGCATTCAGTTGTGGATGTATTGTTTTTTTGTGGTTCACAGGTGCTTGATCTTTTGAATTCAGGCTTTGCGTTTCCCAAGCAATGAATATTTCCCTGCGTCTTGTGAAGTCTTACCAGATTGCTCCTAATTGCACACCTTCTCCATCCTAAATTATTTAATTCACTCCTTGCTGCTCAGATAAGGAGTGGAACCAAACCAAAACCCCAGATGTGTCCACAGCCAAACTCTAAGGAAGTTCATATCTAAACTTTGTGTCAGGCCAGAGAAACTGTAATAGGCTTGACCATAGGGAGGAATCCAAACGCCTCCAAATTTTAGGGTTAGCTCAGAACTATTCTATGAACCAAACTTGTGCCCTGGCCCATCTGAAGTTATGTACTCACATAATCACTTCTCAAATGTCTGTCCATATTGAGAGTATGCAACCATAAAAGATATGTACACACCCACCCATCCACACTGTGAAAAACAAACAGGCAGTAGACTACACATAGCTTGTTGCGTTTTGTACAAGAGCGTGCATGTTTTATTCTAACCAAAGCACTGATTTTTCAAAGTTTTAGCCAGTGGTGTCTAAGGAGGTTGCCTTGGGATAAATGGAAATTCAGTGATTAAAGTGAATGACAATTAGATGGAATCCAGGGGGAATTTTACTAATCAGAATGAGTGGCAAAGACATGGAAA